CGACTCGGATTTTATGGAGCATGCGGTAGGCCGGGCCGGCACTTTAGGTTGATCGAAATTTCACAAATTTCTTTCGACCGTTCATTGGGGAGTTTCACATTGGTAGGAGTTCGTGGAAAGGATTTTCTATGAGTTACTCGAGTTTTATATTATTATGTTATGAAAAGAGCTTCATTATTTTAAAATGGTATCAGAATTATAGGGATTTTTCGAAATGTGGTATCGAATATCGCAGAGGGAATAATGGACAACGACTAAATGGCGTCTTCTGAGAGGTTCGCACGTTTGAAGGGTGCAAGAAGTGAGAGTGTCTTTGTCGAGCTCAGTGTGTTATACGAGTTCATAATCATTGGAGTTTCACCCGTTTTACGTGAAGTGGCGTGATACTCTGTGAAAAACGCGATATTCGCGGTGATATGCAGTAGTCGTGAAATATATTTTTCACTTCATATCGCGGGTGAAACTCCATTGAGTGATTTTGTTGGGGTATATTCTTATTCTCGTGCTCAGTCGAATATTTGGGTTTTACTCCTATCGGAAGGCCTCAACTTGTTTTCTGCTTAGATAACATTATCGTGTAAAACTAATACTCCTCTGTCATTGGTGGGCCGTCCTATGTTGGCCGCGCTTATGCATTGGCGGGATAAACTTGGACGCCAGAGAGATGTGTTCCCTAACTCTGTAGGTTTATGTAAAAAGCGCGCGCCTTGTTGATCGATTATGGAATAAACAGATTCTCACTGATCGTTTGGCGTTGAGGATTGCTATGGATGAACCAGTGACTCGAGAGCAGCTCCTACGAGCACTGGGGGGCGGGTCCGGAGGAGTGGCGAGGCAGGTCCGCGACAGGGCGGATGAAGTGCTGGCTGTGCTGCAGGTAGGGAGGAGTCATCGATCCGGATGAAGTTTGTGATGGATAGAATTTTCAGTATAAAATTTCGAAATTAGTTTTTATGGAGTTGAGTAATTTCGTGGCGCAGTGGTAATTGTTGTTAGTATGCAGCGACGCATCCAAAGTCGCCAATACGAGATGCAGAGGATGTCCAGTTGGAGTCGTTTGAGCCTTCCTCTGCTACTCCCCCGCCGCCGTCTACACCGGAGACGAAGCGATGGAAGGGTCGAGGGTCGGGTACGCCCTTGGGTGGTAGTCGCCGTAAGGACCGACGTAATATTCGTGATGAAGCTGTAGTGTTGGACACCAGTGAAATAGAGGTGCTGGATGCAGGTAGGAGGGGCTCGCATGGAGGAGTGAGGGACTTCATACCGTAAAACGTACGAATTATGACATTCTTATGTCTTGGCCGAGTCAGGCGACGATTGGGGTGGCTTCATAGGGGGGAGGGATTCTTCGGTTATAGTGTATAATGAGTTCGTAGTTTGTATGTGGTTTACAACAATGCGTGCCAATTTGATATGCAATACAACAAGGGAGTTTCACGGCCTGTGATATGAAAATCATATTTTATGACTACTGCATATCACCGCAAATATCGCGTTTTTCACCGAGTTTTACGCCACTTCACGTAAAACGGGTGAAACTCCTATGTGTATTGCATATCAAGCTTGGCACACCTGGGCGAACGCGGGATGGCGTTATGAACGAATTCTCGCTATCGCTGTTTCAAACGGTTATTTTTATTACGAAACATTTTCATCATTCACATTACATCTGCGATATAGTTTCAAGTCGAATATCAGTCTTCTCGGAGAATAACGCCTATTTTCCACAGTTGCATAGCAAATTGGCACGCACTGTGTGGCGATCATTGGGATCAGAAACAGTCGTAGTTTTCTGAAAAATATATAATTGCATTAAGGAATGGCGACGTTGGTGTTAGGCGCTTTACCCTCCCATGAAGTGAGTGGGCCGACTGATGTACTTAGTGTGGATACGTCTATGGATGATGAAGAGGTTACGGCAAAGGTGGATGGGGTTCGGGCTGCATTGGCAGTTGCTATGGCTGAGGTGAGATAGTCGTAGGAGTAGGGTGGGTCGCCATGGTATCTCGGGTAAGTTCGGATTGGAGTGGTATGGAGGTGGTGGTAGGTGCCTGCGGAATTGGCTAGTACAATGTATTTGGCCCGACAGAAGGAGGCTAAAACTGAGGAGGCTGAGGCAACTGAGATGGAGAATCCTGTTGTTGGAAGTGTTGTGACCGAACCTGTCAAGGTGGGCACTCTCATACCATTCTTCTCGCAAATCTCATTCAGAAGGAGTCTGGTGCTCCGAAGGAGGCATCCTTGCCGTCGCCAGAGATCATACATGTTGGAGGAACCAAGGCCATTCCTAAGAGCATCCGACAGGCTTATGCGAATGTAAGAAAAGTGAGGGGGATGTGTAGTGTTGGAATGGTGGCTAGGAGGTGGTTTTAGGGGCTAATCGATCACGTGATCGATTTTCAATTTAGTGAATACCTGGTGATGGTCAGGTGCCTCAAGCTCCTGTAAGTGGGTTGTTGGGTAAGAGGCGACATGGGGCGACGGCGGCAGCGGAAATAAGGAGGGATACTCCGGCGAAGGGAAAGCGATCGGCGGCGAGTCAAGCACTGAAGTAGGGGGTATCTTAGGTTGCTCATTGGAAGATACGGATGAGGTTGGGTTGGAAAGATACGGATTAGGTTCATTGAGCAAGAGTTTGACTTGAAGGATGATGATGATGCTGCGGTGAAGACGACTGAAGTGCCGAAGAAAAAGAGGAGGAATAAACGGCATGAGAAGAGTCCCTCAGCGGAACCATCGAATGTGGAAGGTAACTGCATACGGTGGTGTTTGCTAATCTATGGAGTTTCACGGCCCGTCATATGAAGTGGGACACCAGTGTGGAAAAATATGCACGTCTGTTAGTGACAATGCGAAGAATATGAGGAAATTTTGAGAGATTCTCATTGGTTTTTGTAAATTCATACGGGATGTGTGTTTAAACTTGGGTATAATTACTGAGGGAATCTCTGCTAGACTCAACTGAGGAAAGCGAACATATATTTCAACACTGTGAAACAGTAGTGAAAAAGATATTCCACGACTACTGCAAATGACCGCGAATATCGCGGTTTTCACCGAGTATCTCACAACTTCACGTGAAACGAGTGGAACTCCAATACTAAAGATGAAATATAATCAATTACAGTGAAGGGTGATGTGTATGTAGATGGGATAATTGATTAGTGAATATAATATAGATGAATAGGTTACATTATCACAACGTTATATCGCCCTATGTATGATGTCATTGCCGTATGTGATGGTTGAGTGTGTGAGTTCAGGTGGAGGTTTTGCAAAGCCTAAGGGGATTGCGAAGCGGCAACGTCGATGAGGGTCTTCGGCATTGATACGATGAACATCAACAACTACGTCCTGGGTTTCTAGTAGTTGTTGTGTCGTGTTTGAGATGGGTGGCAATTGACCTGGCGAGGGGGAGGTTATGTAGATTTGTACGTGGAGTGGTATTGATATACTCTACTTGTTGCGAGGGTGATGATAATTATGAATAAGGTTTCCAGTGCACTGGAAGAGAACCATCGTGGTCGCTAGTAGATGGTATAAGAATTTACAAGATTTGCAATACGAAGGTGTCGTAGTTTCGTGTTATTTCTAACTGAACGATGTATTCAAAGCTGATAGTCGTTGTAGAAGGAGTATATGTGTGATTATCTACTCGTTAGAGTTGTGATGGTATTTAAGGATGTCTCCTCGTTACGGTGGCCTTTCCTCGGTCTACAGGGGTGGTATGAAGTAGCTCTGTTTTGGGGGTATATCGTCGTGTGGGTAGCACAGGGCCTGTTGGTAGGCTGGGGGCATCGGCGTGGTCGTCGTGGTGGTGATTATTGGAAGCGTTTGAGTGGTAGTTGAATTGACGGTATGGAAATGAATGTTCGCATGGTGTTGGTGACAATATGAGAATTGTGAGGAATTCTTTGGCGAATCGTTATTGATTTCTGTACACTTCTACCTGAATTTGTATATGGAGTACCGTAATGAGGAACCTCCTGGGATCAGCTGAGGGAAGCGAAATTACATTCTAATACTTTTGAGTCACGAATTTCATCCGACTGTTGAAAGGGCAACCGTAGGAGCGTGTCCCGAGCTAGTTGTGGCCTTAGGAATATCAGGATGCTGGTGACTACTAATTGTGTATCAGGTCCATCGAGCTTTCCTGATTGACGTTCGAGAGGGTGTATGGGGTGATGCCTCGGTGAATGTGATGTGGCAAGAAGCATCCAAACTTGTCTTGGCCTCAGCTCTGTTCTGTATGAGTACAGGAGGAACCTTACGTACACTAGTGGTGGAAGCCATGGCTCATTGGGAGCTGTTATTCATGTGAGCCCAGTCGATGTTGAGAGTTTTCTCACCAAGTGTCCAGAAATCACCAGTAATTCTTATGTATGTAGTTGACCATGTGCACATTTCCTACCACACGGAGTTTGTTGATAGTGTTGGTGTCAGGTACTTCATCCCAGCGAGCATGTATAGTATTTATAACGTTTTAACATACCACTCCTTGAGAAGATTCAATCCGGGCACCTACTTTGTAAGTCGCACATCGATGAATTTCGTGGCGTGTGACGCTTTTGACAAGGTCTTGCTGCAAAGTCGTATAATAATAACAGCTGTTCTTTCCCACTTCTTTGGGGTGTCCAAGCAGCGACCGAGTCCTCTACAATGGACGGCGTTGATTCTGATCATGATCGGATCGATGTTAAAAGAGGCCACCAGCGTTTATGAAGTTTTTCTTGGTGATGTTTTTTCATGATGATGATAAGCTACAGTAGAATAGTAGGTTCATCCATTTCCAATAAGCGCTCAGTGGTTGATTATGGTATTGTGCTTTTCCAAGCCTTGTTGTCTAGTGCGGCTGGGCTGACTAGTGAAAAACTGCTGAAAAAACAGGAGGTGAATCCTCAGGTTTGCACCTCTTGGTGATGTTGTTATTATTGGATATTTTGACCTGTTGCAGATTCAAAATGTTTTTATGTATCTCGACAGTCTCCTGTTGCTGTTTCTGACCTCATTTGTATCTAACCAACATGAACCTTTGGATACGTTTATGCAACCATTGGTCAGACCCTGGACCGCAGCGGCTATCATCAATGCGGCTATCACTGGTAGGGCCTCATCGAAGGAGTATTCACCTCACTGTGACGATGCTGATATTGGAGAGCTCAGCTTCCTCGGGTTTTTTGCTTACCACAACCTCGTTTTTTCATCAATTTTCATATCATATATGCATAGCCGTGTATAGTATGTTCAAATATGTTGTAATTCTTCATCGTTGAGTAGTAAGTCCACTGACCACTGGTGAACAACAGTGAAAGCGTTCCGACTCTTATAGTGTTCTCTCTTCATATCCTCAACTTTAAATTTATACAAGTTTTCTATTTTTGATATATCATTATAGGTATTGTAACGGGGTTATTACTCCGTTCCTTGGGGTCTATTATCAAGTCCATCGCTGCAGCAGTAGAACTGTGGGTCACCGCCTTAGCCAGTTTTGTAAGCACAGCTTCGGTTCATCATCTACCCGAGATGCGGCGGCCATCTAGGTATTCTTCGGCTACCCTCTGGAGCCGTCTTCACTTCTTGGCATGCTGTTGGTGTCGATGGGTTTGTGGCTCTACGGGGCTGGCAAAGGTGTGTTAGTAGAAGTGGTTGTGGTTGTTGACATATTCAATGTCTTATTCGGAAGCTCGAGTATTCTGTGGTGAATTTGTGACTATTGATTGGAAGTGTAGCGTGTGGATGGACTCGGGACTTGGAGTATGCCGGTACCTGATGTGATTTCGTGGATTTGTGGTATGAACTAACAGTTACTGTTAAGCGCTGTGTGCTCCCTTGTCAAATTATTTCTCCAGCTTATCTCGCAGAATATACATGTCACTAGAATTTGCGTTGTCTGTGTACTCAGAATGTTCATATTCGGCGTGTATCTACCGATACTATGAGGAGTTGTGGCTCTTGGGTGAGCAAAATGTTTATACAGAATTAGCTCGAGGGAATATGAATGTCGAGCTTGTTGGTGTTATTATTAGCCGTCTTGGCGTTGATCAGATATTAGCCGACAGAATGGGGGAGAGAAACAGCAATGATGATGATGACAATTAATGTGTTTATTGGTTTGCGAGGTGTTTGTCGTGATATCGTTGATGGTATCGAGTTGTTGACAACCATACGTGTTAGTTTTTACCCGACAGTTAAGTGAGTTTGTATCAAAAAATATGTCTGGCATGGACCCAAGTGCGGTGCCTGGCTTTAATGCATTATCCAATGCTGATCGAAAGGCAGTAGAAGAGGAAATGCACTGGTTACAGGTAAGAGTAGTGGACCTATTTTGTATCTTACTTAGTCAACCTTTGGATTCCCCTAGATGCGCGATTCGATGAACACCTACAACAACATGGTCAACAGATGTTTCGCCACTTGCATAAGAAGTTTCCAGGAGAAAAAGGTCAACGCAGAAGAGGTAAGGAGAGAAGGGCGGAGCGAAGCGATTCATGTTTACCATTTTCGTCTTTATCAGATGGACTGTACTAAAAGATGTGTGACGAAGTTCGTGGGGTATTCTCAGCGTGTGGCGTTGCGGTTTGCGGAGCACAACGCTGAGCAGGCCAAGATTTTGCAAGACAACGAATCCAGGGGAAATACGGCGGAGTTGAGTTAGAAAGGTTGATCATTGCTGTTGTTTAGTATGCGTTGTTTCTAGTAGTATCTAGACTGTTGAGTTGTAGTGAATGTTGATGTTTATTCAGCGTCGTGTTGGCGCTGGTGTGGTATGGAAACGACAACAAGTGGTGTTGAACGTAGTCAGAATGATGACGATGATAGTTGTAGTAGAGTAGTCCAAGAAATCCCAACGTGGGTAGCAGACTCGGGCATTGACGGCGATCTTGATATGGATTTCCTAGCGGCTAGGATAGTCGTTATGAGGAGTCCCTGGCAAATGCCTAGTGACCGGAAGGTAACTTCATAGTAGTGTT